ACTTGCGAGTGTTATACCAGACTCAATGCCCACAGCACCCCGTCTAGTGATCCCAGTTACAGTCCAGTTCAGGAATCTATCTCTCCCACTAACTGCTCTCATCGACTCTGGTGCTGAGGATAGTTTTATTGACGCTAGCCTGGTTACTCAGGCTGAGATCCCTGTTAAGCCCCTGCCTAAGCCTATAACAGTAACCGCTATTGACGGCCATCAGTTTGCCAACATCACCCACCAAACTGTCCCCGTTTCTCTCATGCTGTCCGGCAATCACAAAGAAACCATCCAGTTCAAAGTAGTCTCCTCCTCGGCCTCCCCCCTTATCCTCGGTTTTCCCTGGCTTAGCCTTCACAACCCCCATATTGATTGGCAAAACCACAAGATACACAGTTGGAGCACTCACTGCCATTCTGTTTGCCTTGGGTCGGCTATTCCGCCCTCGGTCGGCTCCCCTGCTTCCCCTGTCAAAACCCCAGACCTCTCTTCAGTCCCGGAGGAGTACCGGGACCTGGCCGAGGTATTCAGCAAGTCCAAGGCACTTTCATTACCACCTCATAGGCCATACGATTGCGCTATTGAGTTACTGCCTGGAGCGCCTTTGCCGTCCAGTCGGCTTTTCAATCTGTCCCGTCCTGAGAGAGAAGCTATGGAAACCTACATAGGCGACTCCCTAACCTCTGGCATCATTCGTCCCTCATCGTCCGCTGTTGGTGCTGGGTTCTTTTTTGTTGAGAAGAAGGACAAAACTTTACGGCCCTGCATTGACTACAGAGGACTTAATAACATCACAGTCAGAAATACATACCCCCTGCCTCTCATCAACTCAGCATTTGACTCCCTTCATGGTGCCACTGTGTTTACCAAACTCGACCTACGGAACGCTTACCACCTCGTTAGGATCAGGCAGGGAGACGAATGGAAGACTGGGTTTAATACCCCTCTCGGACACTTTGAATACCTAGTCATGCCATTCGGTCTCACTAACGCCCCAGCAGTGTTTCAGGCCATGGTGAACGATGTGTTGAGGGATTTTCTACACCGTTTTGTGTTTGTCTATTTGGATGACATTCTGATATTCTCTAAGTCACAGGATGAACACGTCTCCCACGTCCGTCTGGTTCTCCAACGCCTCATGGAAAACAAACTGTATGTGAAGGCAGAGAAATGTGAGTTCCACCGGCAGTCCGTCCCCTTTTTGGGCTTTATCATCGAGCGGGGACAAGTGTCACCAGACCCTGAGAAGATCAGAGCGGTTGTGGAGTGGCCCACACCCACGTCTCGGAAGCAGCTACAACGCTTCCTGGGTTTCGCCAACTTCTACCGCCGCTTCATCAGGGGTTTCAGCCGAGTGGTTGCCCCCCTGACCAAGCTCACCTCCCCTAAGGTGCCATTCCTGTGGACGCCTGAGGCCGAGTCAGCCGTGAGTACATTGAAGAAACTGTTCACCACCTCACCTGTTCTTATTCATCCAGACACTAGTTTGCAGTTTGTTGTGGAAGTGGACGCCTCGGATTCGGGGGTGGGGGCTGTCCTGTCACAACGTTCCCCCACGGACCAGAAGCTCCATCCGGTGGCTTTTTTCTCCAAGAGATTGACCCCTGCTGAGAAGAACTACGACGTGGGTAACCGGGAGTTGCTTGCTGTCAAGTTGGCGTTGGAGGAATGGAGGCACTGGCTAGACGGAGCAGAGCAACCCTTCATAGTCTGGACGGACCACAAGAACCTGGCTTACATCCAGTCGTCCAAGAGGCTGAACTCCCGTCAGGCCAGATGGGCTCTGTTCTTCAGCAGGTTCAAGTTTATCTTAACATATCGTCCTGGCACACGTAATGTCAAGCCTGATGCTCTCTCTCGCCAGTTTACAGACACTGAAGACTCCAGCAATCCTGAATCTGTTCTGCCCGCTTCCTGTTTGGTGGCGGCTGTTCATTGGGAAATCGAGTCCCTCGTCCGATCGGCACAAGAGTTGGAACCTGGACCGGCCGATGGGCCTCCCGACCTTCTCTATGTTCCCGCAGCCGTGCGGCCGCAAGTGCTCAACTGGATCCACACCTCACGCTTCTCCTGCCACCCTGGTATGAAACGTACACTATCGCTACTCAAGAGGCACTTTTGGTGGCCATCCGCCGAGGCTGACGTCCGGGAGTACGTGGCGGCCTGTTCCATCTGTGCCCAAAATAAGGCTTCCCACAGGGCTCCTTCGGGCCTGCTGCGGCCTCTCCCTGTCCCGAGTCGCCCTTGGTCTCACGTGGGCTTGGACTTCGTCACTGGACTTCCTATGTCTGAGGGTAATGACACTATACTCACCATCGTGGACAGATTCTCTAAATCTGCCCATTTTGTTGCATTACCAAAATTACCATCTGCCAGTGAGACAGCCGACCTCTTTGTCCTACATGTATTCCGTCCCCATGGAATACCTGTGGACATAGTGTCCGATAGAGGTCCACAGTTTATTTCTCGGGTATGGAAGGAGTTTTGTTCGGCTCTGGGTGCCTCTGTCAGTCTCTCATCAGGGTTCCATCCCCAGTCCAATGGCCAGACTGAGAGGACTAACCAGGACCTGGAGGCTGCTCTACGCTGTGTGACATCCCAGAACCCGTCCACCTGGGCCAAACATCTCCCGTGGGTCGAATATGCCCACAATTCCCTCACCTCATCTGCCACGGGCCTCTCACCATTTGAGGCGGCTTTGGGGTACCAACCGCCATTGTTCCCGTCTCAGGAAAGGGAGTTAGCCGTTCCGTCAGTTCAGGATAACCTTCGTCGCTGCCGTAAGGTGTGGGTGGACACCCGTGAGGCCCTTCTACGGACAGAAGAGAGGAATAAGAGGGTGGCGGACAGGCACAGGGTAGTCGCTCCACAGTTCCAGCCTGGTCAGCGTGTCTGGCTCTCCTCCAGCAACATTCCCCTGCGCACTGACTCCCGTAAGCTGTCGCCCCGATATTTGGGTCCTTTTGAGGTCGAATCCATCATCAACCCTTCGGCTGTTCGGTTGAAGCTTCCCCAGGCCATGAGAGTCCATCCTACATTTCACGTGTCCCAGCTGAAGATGGTCTCCTCCAGTCCTTTGTGTCCGCCGGCGGATCCCCCTCCGCTACCGCGCATTATTGACGACCATCCAGCCTACACGGTTCGGAGACTGCTGGACGTCCGGAGGCGTGGTAGAGGGTTTCAGTACCTGGTGGACTGGGAGGGATACGGTCCCGAGGAGAGGTCCTGGATTCCCAGACGTTTTATTCTGGATCCTCAGCTAGTGAATGACTTCCATAGGGACCACCCTGACAAGCCGGGTGGGTCGCCGGGTGGCGCCCGTTGAGGGGGGGGGTACTGTTACGGTCCGGCTCTGTTGGTCCTGTTCCTGTTGGTGTTCCTTTCCCTTTTCTCCCCTGTGTGTGTTGTTTGTGTCTGTCTCCCCCTGCTGTGCAGTCAGAGGTTCTAGGTCAGCGGGCGTGGCCATTCTATCACCAGAGCAGTTACATCAAGCTGCAGCTCATTGGCACCAATCAAGCAGCAGATATCTACCCGGGCTGGACACCTCTCCAGCGCCAGTTCGTTCCTACACTTCCAGTGGTAACTTGGCCCGTACAGCACTCTCAGTGTAGTTGTACTCTCTCAGTATTATTGTTGTTCCTGCCACGTTTTGTAACCTGTCTCTCCTTCGACCAGATCTCGTCTGTTCCTGCTGCCTGCCTGCCTGCCTGCCTGCCTGCCATTCCCACGCCGCTACCTGCTCCTCTGTTGCCTGATATCCTCGTTATCCAGCTCTCAGGACTACTGGCTCTCCACCCCACTCAGCTCCTACCCCAGCCTGAAGCTATTCCACCCTGACTACTTCTCTCTGCCAATACACGTTGAATAAACTACATCCTAATTTTACTCTCTTTGTCCGTGTGTCTGTCTCTGCACCTGAGTCCACCACCCAACCTAATAATCAGTGGTCTTGTATGTCTTCCATTTCCTAATAATTGCTCCCACAGTTGATTTCTTCAAACCAAGCTGCTTACCTATTGCAGATTCAGTCTTCCCAGCCTGGTGCAGGTCTACAACAGGTGTCTTTTATACTGATAACAAGTTCAAACAGGTGCCATTAATACAGGTAACGAGTGGAGGACAGAGGAGCCTCTTAAAGAAGAAGTTACAGGTCTGTGAGAGCCAGAAATCTTGCTTGTTTGTAGGTGACCAAATACTTATTTTCCACCATAATTTGCAAATAAATTCATTAAAAATCCTACAATGTGATTTTCTGGAGAAAAAAATTCTCAATTTGTCTGTCATAGTTGACGTGTACCTATGATGAAAATTACAGGCCTCTCTCATCTTTTTAAGTGGGAGAACTTGCACAATTGGTGGCTGACTAAATACTTTTTTCCCCACTGTATGTGAATTGTGAATAATGAAAAGGTATGAGGGCAAAAACCTCAAATATTTCAAAGCACTCTCAGTAGACCATTTAAAACCCTTTTATTCACAGACTACTTTTGGCTAATGGCCAGGATAAAAAGATGCACTTAATGAGATGCCACTAAACCAGCTTTGATTAAGGGGAGGGTAGGCTATGCTTTTTATTTTTATTTTTATGTTTCTATGTACGAGATTCACCGGCACATCTCTCCTTCCATGGGCACTGTGCGTCACACCTGGATAGGCTGCGCTTCCCTTCTCATAATCTAAGCCATTATCAACAGCGTTATCGTTAAGACCTGCTTTTGGTGGGTCTTAAAACCGCCCTTTAGTGCTGCATGAAATTGTCACTTTTGTGCTTGTTTTTAAGGACACACCTGATAATATTGCCACCCCACCCACCTCAACACAAGCGAGCGGATGTTAGACAGGTAAATTGCCGAACCTGGCGTTAGTTTTTACATTACAAAATTGCAAACTATTGTGAGTTTGACATTTGCGCCACCTTAGCGCCAGCCGAAAATATAACTCTAAATATACCATGCAAAAATGAGAGAAGGGAAATCCCTCCAAAAGCATTGGGCCTTGGCCTGGCGTCAGGTCACCTGTGACGTGTTGGTAGCGTGTGCGTCCCAGCATGGAGTGCATGGCGTAAGCAGGGTGGGGGTGCTGCGTGTGGGAGGGGGCAGGCTCAGCATCAGGACAACCACAGGATGTTGGTACTGCCCATCCTCCTTCAGACGCCCCCCTCGGATGGTGAAGTGGCAGTCCTGGGGGCACAGTAAAGGCCTTGGTATGATCAGCACTGGTGTCTTACTCTAGCAGAGGCTTTAGACAGTATTTCTACAGCAGCTTGTATAACCTGGTGTGGTTTGTCAGGCCTTCGGAAGAAGTCACAGTAGATGTATCCCAGAAGACCTTCTGCCTCATGGACAACAGCCTGTTAAGAGAACCAACGGACATGCAGGACTGCATCCCCATGCAGGACTGCAAATCCATCCCCAGCTACCTAAACAGCAGAGTAATGAGACTTTAAAATGACAAAAAGCCAAGCAGCAACTATTACATTTTCTGCTAATTCACTCAAAGGGGCCCCCAGACATTGGTGTTAAGTGCCATTCAGACAGACAGAGACTGTTCTCTAACCAGCTTGCGGATGTCTTCGCTCCACACCTCTCCTGCCATGGGCTGTTCATTCTGGAAGGAGACCCCCAGCAGCTGACTGAACAGCATGATGAGGCCCTCCATGCAGGCCCCCAGGGAGACTGAGGACTGTACAGGCTGGGATCTATCTTATACCTGCACACACACATACACTCATAACATAGCCTTATCGCAGACTGTTTTCTGAATCCCGTTAAGCAATACACAAGCCCCCTCTAGAGGCCTTTTAGTAGAAAATAAAGCTCCTGTCAATCCTTCAATTGTTTATTAAGGATATTCCCTATGATTCCTTGTTGACAAGTTATATTCTGTACACTGAGAAAATATACATAGGTTTATTATAGTACTATATACCTTTGTATAGGTATCTTACCTCTCTGCCCGCACAGCACCGCTGAAGTAGGGGTGGTCCCATGGCATGAGTTCCTGAGATAAATAAATTGAAAGGATTGTCATGATCTCCTACACATGAACGTCAGAACCATGAGAGCTGATTAAATGCATTTATAAGATGACTCACGGTACTTCTTGAGTTCATTTTCATCTTCATATCCCTCATCAGATTAAAATCTTTGGCAGTTCTGAATTGAGAAATAGGGCCATTCTTGTGTGAGCATGTGCCGCATGTACAATATGTTTGAGATGGGCAAAACATTTGTGTGTTGTACAGAGTGGTCATGCCAGTGTCTGGGTCTCTGACTCGTACCATACCTGTCTGAGAGTTTGTCTGTCAGCAATTCAAGGAATTTCATGACAATCTCTGCCAAACAAAACATACACAACACACTGGTCAACACAGTACACACTTCTCTGTTAGAAGAATCAAAGTCAATTCAATCGTTTATCCAAGCAGCGGAGCACTAAGAAATTAGGTTAATGGCCAGAGTGCTTTACCTGGGGTCTTTGCCATGGTTCCATTTAAAGCCCTGTGTGCAAAAGATTCATAGCCCACTAAGTTGGCTAGCTTATTCCTACAAGCCAGCAGGTCATCCAGACAAAGCAGCAGACTTGAATTTGGGAAGAGAAAGATTTTATAAGCAGCCTCCCGCACCTAAGAGAAAAGACAAGCATATAATAACTATAGGCTACTGCACAGCAAACCATCAATGCCAATACCATTTCCTACTATGGGATGGTAGATGGAAGACCACTAATTATGTACAGAGATAGACCTGTGGGTTGCACACACACATGCAAACACACACCAGTTCATCAGGAGAGTCTGCATGGAGACCTCCTATCTGGATGGAGTTGCTGTCTATGGAGAAGCAGTGTCGGATGTGTTCTGGCAGGGCCCTCTTCTCTATCCTACTGGGCAGGTGGGAGCCATTTAGAAACTCATTGTTCAGATCCAGCAGGTTGACATTGAGGCTAACTGCCTTCCAGTGGCGGCTCCTGAAAAAATTCTCAGGGGGGGCAATTTTTCTGATGATTTAGGTGACCTACACACATTTTCAAAAAGATATGTCCAGCAACAACATGAAGACAGGGGCAGCATATAAGTCAATGCCAGAAGCATTTATTGACTGATCTCAAAAGTGTTGGCTTACAAAAGCAAAATAAGTTATGGTCCTCTGTAGCTCAGCTGGTAGAGCACGGCGCTTGTAACGCCAAGGTAGTGGGTTCGATCCCCGGGACCACCCATACACAAAAAAATGTATGCACGCATGACTGTAAGTCGCTTTGGATAAAAGCGTCTGCTAAATGGCATATTATTATTATAAAAATAATCAAGGGTGTTCTTTCACATTCCTCAACACTGCATAAACAATATGCATTTCCATAAACAAATGAAATATCAGCTGAAAATACAGCATCTTGGTATTTGTTCAGATTGCAGGATCAACAAGAGCTTTTACCACATTTTTTGCCTCATGGTTGAATTGGAAATATGTGCACCTGAGCATAATTCACAACAAGCAAGCAGGAGCTTTTGATAGAGGCTACTGAAAACATTGATGCAAGTTATTGGTAATAAGAAATTTTTATAGACTTCCATATTCTGCCCTCTTGTATATATTTGTGAAAATGAACAGTGATAGACATTTTGCCTGAAAACAGAATTTGAAAATAATTTCTAGAAAAGGTAAACACAGCTATCTGTATGGCTTTGTAAAAATGAACAACCATATTCTGGCCAATTGTATAGATTTGTAAATATGAACAACCATATTCTGGCCAATTGTATAGATTTGTAAAAATGAACATGAACAGATATTTTTTTTTTTTTAACTTTTTTTAAAAATGAAAAATAACTATTTTAAACAACATCAACTGTGAACTGATTTGGGCGTGTGTGTGTTAAAGAGACAGACAGGGAGGGACAAAGAGAGAGAGAGGCTACATTACTTGTACTGAAACTGTTCTCTTCTCTCTTTCAATGCAGCAAAGCGGTCAATGACTTTCTCATTGAAATCAGGCATGCTGAGGACTAGTTCCCTCTCCATGGAAAGCATGGCCAGTGCATTCAGACGTTCCTGGCCCATTGAATTTCGCAGGAATGTCTTAACTCGTGTCAAAGTTGAGAAACATCTCTCAGCTTCAGCTGTTGTCATTGGAGTAGTTATGAGGATGTTCAACAGAGTCACAGTCTCAGAGAACGTCTCCTGGAGGTTGTAGCTCATGAGAACCTGGTACAGTGCCAGTGCACCACAGTTTGACTTTCTCGTCGTCGGCAAAAATACCGTTCAGTCTCTCCAAAAGCACACTGGCGATTGAGACTGAGGTTGATTCCGAGATGGGAAGGAACTCAAAAAAGCGCTCCTGCACTTTGTGGTTGCTATCTATGTACCTCAGCACAAGCACCAGCTGTGTCTGTGTAGAAACGTCCGTGGTCTCGTCAGCTTGGATAGCTACGAAGTTCGCCGACTTCACCTCCTCCACAATATGTTCCCTCATGACCGCTAGCATACACTCCAGTAGCTCGTTTTGAATGGTCTTTGATGTGAACTTCTTTCAAAGAGACAATCGAGTTGCACTGAACGTTAGCCATCTTGATAGTAGTACGTGAATTGATTGACGCTGCTACCCGCTCTTTTCTTAGTTACGTTCATGGTTATGTTACGTATGACGAAAGCGCGTAAGTGCAAGCCCTCAGAAACCCATAGAGATTGTATTGAAAGCTCTGATATTTGAAAAAAAAATGTTTTACATGAGAGTCTATGAGAGACTTCTGGGGCGATTTTCAACCTGACTGAAATCGCCCCAAAAGGGGGGGGGGGCATTTGAAGCACGACTTTAGCCTGATTGGACATTTAGTGGCAGATCAGACGTCTAGATTAGAACACTGATAACTACTGTTGCCGTGATATAATTGATTAGAAAAAAATCCCTTCCTTTTCCCGTTTGGCAGTGCGTCGCCCATATCGCCCTAATGAACACACCGCCCCTGCTGCCTTCCCTCTCTGAGAAATAAAGAGTCACACAGTGAAACATAAAGGTGAAAGAGATGCTGTTAAGGTTACGCTCACATTGTGGTTATACTTCCCTGAGGATGTGGTATAGTTGGATAGCAAATTCATAGTGAATGAGTACATGACAAAAATGGATCACAAAATATATTCCATGAAGTGTCAGTGATAGAAATTACATTAATAGCTTATTACTAGCCAGAGTACCAGTCTCTTTAGCTAACATTCCACTCCTTGTCATTGCCAGAGACACTAGCCTTTTGGCGATCTCTTGCGCAATTCATGCATCTCCACTGGCACAGATGTCATAGGTTTTGAGGGAGTGTGCAATTGGCATGTTGACTGCAGGAATGTCCACCAGAGCTGTTGCCAGACAACTGAATGTTAATTTCTCTACCATAAGCTGCCTCCAATGTCATTTTAGAGAATTTGACAGTACGTCCAACAGGCCTCACAACCGCAGACCACATGTATGGCGTTGTGCTTGGGCGATCGACATGAACGACAGCGTGTTCCAGTTCCCGCCAATATCCAGCAACTTTGCACAGCAATTGAAGAGGAGTGGGACAACATTACACAGGCCACAATCAACAGCCTGATCAACTCTATGCAAAGGAGATGTGTTGCGCTGCATGAGGCAAATGGTGGTCACACCAGATACTGACTGGTTTTCTGATCCACACCCCTACCTTTTTGGGGGGGGTATCTGTGACCAACAGATGCATATCTGTATTCCCAGTCATGTGAAATCCATAGATTAGGGACTAAATCATTTATTTCAATTGACTGATTTCCTTATATGAACTGTAACTCAGTAAAATCTGACATTATGTTGCGTTTATATTTTGTTCAGTATATTTACAATGAAAATGTATTACACCAGAATGCCCAATGTTAGAATGTTTCCAATATAATTTATGAATTAAGTTAGAACGTTTGCATATTATTATTTTTTATTTAACCTTTATTTAACTAGGCAAGTCAGTTAAGAACAAATTCTTATTTATAATGACGGCCTACACTGGCCAAACCCGGACAACGCTGGGCCAATTGTGCACCGCCCTATGAGACTCCCAATCACAGCCTGGAATCGAACCAGGGTCTGTAGTGACGCCTCTAGCACTGAGATTCAGTGCCTTAGACCGCTGCGCCACTCGGGAGCCCATATGACAAGGAGTGGCAAGGAGTGGAATGTTAGCTATAAATAGACTGGTACCCAGGCTAGCCTATTACACCACTAACCTTTGAATCATCCAGATGAATGCCACTGATCTCAAAATCAAACATGAACAGTTCTGCTACTCTCCTGCCAAATATATTGTGAAATATCTGTAAGACAAGATGCACTGCTACACATCATACAAACAGGAAGATAATAAAAAAGGATTTAAAGACATGCTCCGGAACTTTGGCGACTACTAAGTAATTTTTAAACCTCCCGCTTTGGGCTGGATGTGTCAATGTGTAGTTCATACATGCATAATCTATGAGCAGAATTACTGTCTCACCTCAATTAGCCACAAAATCCCTAGTTTCAAAGAGACTGTTTTTCTGGAAGCTGTGCTGCGCCATTTTCCCTACATTTTCCCCCACTTGGGCCTGCCCCTAGCAATTCGAGTTCTAGCCAATGAGCTTCAGCTCCTCACCATTTGAGTGAGGGTCACGTAAAGCAGAGTGAGCAATGATGTGGTGTACATATCTGCACATACTGTAAATTCCATAGTATGCCATTTTCGGGGCCCAATTTTGGCTACTTTCAGAACTACTGACTAAAAAGTATACAAAAGTACCAGAGAATCTCTTTAATTGATGAAGAATAGTACATGCCTTGTATCTGGTTCCAAAGTGTCCAGAATCTCTTTGTTATCTAATAGGTTCTTGAGACTCCTACATAGTTCGACATTAGTGTTCAGCCTATCTGGGCAAAATATAGAAAACATCAGAGAAAGCATATATTAAACATTTGTTTTGCTTGACATCATGTAATACTTTACTAGAGAAATTACAGAAGAGGGCTCATACTTTTCGATTACTGTCCCAATGTTTATGCATGCCTTCTGAGCAGCATTCCGAAACGCAGGGGCTGGAAGGCCTACTTTGACAAAATCTGCCTGTAAGAAAATAAATAGCCTACAACATCATGAGTGTATCATATTATATCTACACAGGGAGGAGCTTGGCTTGACAACAACATTGATGCCAATGATCTCTGAGTGTGACTAAATAATAAATCAGACTGATACCAATCGTTGATATCACTGTATGATTTATTAAGCAAAGTGTGACTGTGAGACATGACCAAATCTGCCACTTTGCACAGGCTGTCAGCCAGTTGATCGAAGGTTTCCACGGTGAGGGCGCCTGGTGGGTTACTGCAGGCTGTGTCTACCAGCTGTTCCGTTTCACTGAGCGCTCGATGCTAAACCACCTCGAAGCCAGCCGGAGTACTCAATTCTGGAACACCGAATAATCCCTGCGCCAATATAACACAATGTCATGTCAATAGTCTGTGGCCAATCTTGGGTTTCAAGGTTGATATTTGCAACAACAACCCCACCTGAGCCATAGCAGACATTGGGGACATTGCATATAGACAGCTTGAATTTGTTATGCTGCTAATTTACCATGTTCTTCTGAAACAAATCAACACCCCGCTGTTGGTCCTTGAGTTTCTTACAACACTCACAAATCGTTGACACGCCAACATCATAGCTAACAACGTATTCAACTGAGTGTTATGGATGGAAAGACAAGGTCGGTCAAAGGAAGAGGGAATTCCGTGGGTAACTTGGCTCGGGCTAAATGATTAAAGTTATCATAAGCATGCACGTTTTTAGCTTTTGTTCTGCATGCATCAGTACCTCCACGCTGACACTTTCATCATACAAATACTATTAAACTTTTGGATATTAAATTAGTATTTCACTGTCTATGATTATTGAGTTAGCTAGATAGCTGGGAGTGTCAAACATGCATGTAGAATGTTTACAATTTTCAAAATGGTTCTGAAGTTTCGTGTCTGCACTTTCGCGACTGGAGCCTATCTATTCCAAACCATTCACAAAATATAAAAACCAGTAGCAACAGTTTATAAAATGTACCAGCAAAAACTATTTTTGAACGAATCTCAATCAAAGTATAACGAAACTTCTAACTTGAACGAAGTTGATTCTGAGCTAGTCTTCACCCGAAATGTACAGCCATTGGTTGAAATGATGAAACAACTTCAACTTCTTCTTCTTCTGTGGGGTTTAACAGCGGTTGGCATCCAATATGTTGCATTACCGCCCCCAACTGGACTATAGTATAAATCCATTATGTTTTGCGATAAAAACTATTTTTTAAACACCCTTCCAACTAACCCTACACTCATTTAAAAACCACTACCCCAATTCCACTACTTTAACCCTATCTGCTCCTGCACCATGCCACTCTACACACCCTGTACCCACAGATAGAAAAATTACACAGATATTTCACCGGATGTATAAATGTGAAGCATCCGGTTGGCGTTTCCACTCACTACTAAATATGGTGGTGAGAGGAAGCCCAGTGGCTGGCAGTGGGAGAAGATTACGCGAGATGGATTTTGGCCGATATTCTGCTAATTTTCTCATTTGATCTCAATACAGTTTTCTGTTTCCAAAACTAGAATCTGTTACGAACAGATTGGACTTTTGGTAGACTTTACCATTTGCCAAAGTTTTTTTTGTTGCATTGTTTAGAAGGAGTGCAAGGGTGAATTGAGTTAATGCAAACAAGCGCTTCACAGAGTAGGCGTTCCCTAACGGAAATATGCAAATGTATGCTAGAACACGCCAATAGGCTCTCGCTAGCTCGTGCTTGGCTCTGCCACCTCCTTGCTTGTTCTGCCCACTATGATTCATTTGCTCCCATTGGAAACAACAGGCTGTGGTCTATCTTGGGTTAGTTATAAAAAATATTTGCTGTAACTCTTCTGAAGTCAAATCTTGTACAAATCAAATTGTATTTGTTACATGCGCCCAATACAACGGGCCTTACCGTGAAATGCTTACTTACGAGCCATTAACCAACAATGCAGAGTTATTTTTTTTAAGTAAGTAAGAAACATTTGCTAAACTAAAATAGTGACAGTAAAATAATATTAAATAAAATAACACTCCCCACCGGGTCTGCATCACACCAAATGACGGGCGTCACAAACACCAGGAATCTTCTACTTCAATTGCTCCACCTCCACACTCAACGCTACCACAGAAATCACTCATTTCAATGGTGCCCTGTTCTTAAAAGCAAAGTAAGAAACAGATCTTGACCCGAGTTGCGTGGCATGGAGCGCCCGCTTCGTCTGGGCCGAAGAAACACAAACAAACATCACAAGTTCACTTCGGCTTACCTTCACACATTTAACAGTACCCAACATATTTTCCACCCAACCTGATACCACATATGGATCAGCCAAAGGGCCTGGATCCACTTTCTTCAAGAGTCTCACTCCCACTGTACCAGAGTATATGAGCGGAGCTGGAGCCGAGCTAGTAGCGGAGCGTGCCCGATTTGACTGAACCGTGGAGCGAGATTCCCAAAGGCGGGAGTGTCGGCCTTCTCGCCAGCTCCAGTAGCGCTCACTTCACGAGCTCATTTTTTGCCTACTTGTGTGCTGCTAATAGCCCCTTGCTTTAGCTACTGTTATGGAGTTCGGTAAATATTTTCATAAAGAAACTGATAAAACACATAGGTTGCTAAATCAAGGTGACTTAAAAAGATGAGGACCAAGAGCAACAGAGGGAGTGAGTGATGTGATGTAGTGTCCACAACTATAAAATCATTGTGAAATCTGAAAAGACACGTATCCAAAAAGTATGATGGGTGTACTTACTACATGCACATGCTTAAAAGAAAGGAATGAGGTGGGTAGAAACTAAGTGTGTCATTGTAGCAAAGTATTATAAACTAGAAGTCAGATCTCTTCATTTCGTTCTCATTATCTATACAATAGGCCATAATTTATTTTGGCCCAATAGGCCTGGCATATTCCCACGTTCAAGGAGCTTTCCGTTTTGATTGGGCTATTTTGCCTAAAAGCCTTTAGGCCGACCGATAGAAAAATAAGAAAACAAAACTCTGGCTCTCTGCCCAGCCTGCCAAGCAAGAGTGGGCCAAAGGGTGGTGTTAGCATCCTCAGTCGGATCCTAAGTGTGGAGAGAGATATCTCTGCTGAACTGGAGGGCTCTCCAGACACAATAGCATGAGCCCTGAAGCCACAGACGGAACAAACTGTCTTCTAAAAATGAATTCTAAAAATGCAATTCAAACGGCAACTACTACGTCATTTTTTCCGTTAATGGTATTTAATTCTAAAGAGTAAAGTCAACAGCCTATATGGCAATTATAGCCTATAATGATTTAATACAACGATGTGTTTAATGTGCATGCTTTAGTCACTACCAGCACTAGTGTGTCGCACTCGACAAATGTATTTCTTTGTAGGCTATAGCCTGAAATAATAGAAATAATATTAGCCTAAATAATTTCATTTTCTTCCCTTCTTAGGCTCCCTTTATGGCTTCTGAATCTATGTAGAGTTTTTATATCTGTTTAATATGACCATGTAGCCTATTTGAAATGTTCACTTCTACAGTACAGTCCCCCTTTAAGTTTATTAAAATACTTTCATTCAAATTCCATATGGTTTGGTTCCAATACTTAAAAAACAATGGTAGTCCAGTAGGTAGCACACAAAATATATGGGTGTTGGTTATTAAATTAGATTTTATGAATGGAGCGAATTGGAGCAAGGAGTTTTTTCTCCAGTGAGTATGGAGGGTGTTTAGCGGAACGGTAGGGTAAAGGACTAGAGCACGCAAGTGTAGGTCGAGTCAAGTTGCTAGTCATTGTGATTAAAACAAAGGAGTCAGCTCATACTGAAAACTTTGACATAGTTTTATTCATATCACAAGATTCCAGCTTCCAGCAAAGTTTTACAGCTGCATGGACCACCCGAGAGAGCGGCTACAAAGATTGCATGGGGCCGCTCTAACCTCTCTTCGTTTTTACCAGTGTATATAATCTTCCCAATAATGGGTGGCTCCCTCTACGTCCAATCCCCTTGTCTACACACCACTTTCCTGTCTGTTGTATGTGGCGTCACACTAAAACATTCCCTCTGACACTAAAATAAACACTCTCAGTTCCACTGAAAACATTAACAACGGCATAATCTTAATACACTACATATTCCCCACTTCGAGACACTAAAAAGTCTCGAAAAACAAACAGAATAGGGATTATGACAAGTAACCAATTCTCTTATTGAGATCGTTAACATTAAACCAAAAAAACATTTTTCTCTAGAGTGTAAATACTTTCTAGAAATATGAACAAATCTTCTATGGAGTGGAATTACATTACTATGAATATGAAAAAATCTTATGGAGTGTATAAGAGCGAAAAAAACTGTCTGGCAGCCTTCTTCGTTTAATCAACCATAAATCAGAACAGTTAAAATCTCTCCCGGTCCCCTCTGACCCAGGCAACCACCCCTAGGTTACTCCAGATCAAGTCATAAATCTTACAATGCATTTGAAAACTATGATGCATTAAATTACCATGAAAGGCCTGCAAACAAAATAATATCCAAAAAAATATCCACCCAAGGCCTGGTCGACCCAATGGGCACTCTTACAGGGGATCTCAAAATCCCTGCCTCGCACTACATGTCCCTAAACATTCACGAAAATAAACAAAAACATCTAGTCCACCCATGTATTCAATAACATCCAAATATCATTCTACAAAAAATTAATACCTAAGAATATGACACAAATTATTGTATTACAATGCAATATGTCTATATTTTCATTGAAGACACTGGAATGTAGTCCAATACACTTCATATACACAGCAGTGTAGGATCAATGCACCGTTGATGATGGAATAGGAACTTTCCACACATTCATTGTTCCATCTCCTCCAGTCATTCTCCTGTCATATGTTTCCTTCATATTGTCTGTTTGAGTATTTCAATCTCTATATTCCCCAAAATGCTTCTGGAAGAAAAGAAAAGACCAAACAGTATCTTTTGCAAAAACAACACTTTCAAATTAAAAAATCAATATCAACTAAGAATATAAAAAAAATGATAAAAAATGATATATGAATCACATTATCCTATTTCCCCATTTGATTTCATAAACATCATACTAAAATCACACTACTATTGAAAAAAAAAAAAAATTTTGTAAGGATCAAATAATCAAAAAGGGATATTTATAAATCAATAATCCATCCAGTCCCACTTTGTCATCTTCATCCAATCAGGGACAGTCAACAACGCGCATCTGAGGTGGTCTCAGGCATAACTACTCCAACCATTCTCCAATTATCCTAGCTTTCGCAAAAGGTTAGTAACAATTTACAACAAGAAAACATCCAAACCACAGTGCTATGCAAAACTGCTATTAAAGCTAAACCATCAATGGCTCCCAATGGGCCTAATGATTCTTGCCAAACCAGACTTTGATGACCATCAGGCTCTGCAAGATCTACCAAAGGCATCCCTTATATTTGTTCAATGCATTATACTATCTGGAATCAAAGTATAGTGTAATATTATCAAATGATCTTCCAAAGTTTACACCTACCATGGAAAAATCCCAACTTCTCTCTTAGACTTATCCCTCAAATGAGTAGGCTACCCAGACTATGAAATGTCGCCATGTCTCTTTTCACCCTATTTCCAAAG